TTTTAAAAAATTTTTTTTTTTTTTTTTTTTTTTTTTTTTTTTTTTTTTTTTTTTTTTTTTTTTTATAGTTTAATTTGAATTATGATGGAAAAATATTTATGTTAAAAATATTCCTTTTAGAGTTTTGTTTTATACTAAATAAAAAGTCTATTTTTTTCTATGTATAGTTTTACTTAATGTTTTTTTTTTTTAATTTTTTTCAGAAAAAAGTTTTAAACATAAATATGAAATATTTTTTAAAATAAATAAAAATTCAAACTAAATAAAATTTATTAAAAATAAAACAAAATATATAAAAATGTTAATAGGAAAATAAAATAAATTTAATTTAAAATTAGGTTATATTTAAATGTGGAAAATTTATATATATTAGGTATTAGTTTTATGTTAAATTTTAAAAATTAAAAACTTTTTTTTCTTTTATTTTATCATAACATTTTTCTGCGCCTTTTTTTTTTTTTTTTTTCCTGCTGCTATTCGATATATTTATTTTTTTCTTCTTTTTTTTTTTCCGCTTTTACCACTTTCATTATTATCCACATTTTTATCTATGTTATTCTTTCTATCTTCATAATTTTCAGTATCATTACTTTTACTTATATTATCTTTATTTTTATTTTTATTCATTTTTTCAGAATTATCCTTTTCCTGATTGATTGTAAATCCTTCATTTTCTTCAATATATTCTTCTTTTTCTTTAGTATTAAGTTTCTTCAAACTTTCTACGTTTTTCTCATGTTTTATTTTTGTATTTATTTTATCTTTATTCTTTAACTGTTTATTACTCTCCAATAATTCATCATAATCATTGAAATTTAAATCATCATCATCCACAGAATTTATTAAAAAATTTAAAGTGGTTTGATTAAACGAACATTGATCAATTGATTTTTTTAAATGAGGTGTAATTAATTCATGTAATTCATAAAGAAGAAATCTGAATTTCACATCAAATAAAAACTGATTTCTATAAATATTTATTATGGATAAAACGATATTAATTAAATACTCTACATAAAAATTAAAATCCCCACAAGAAAGAAATTTTTTTCTATTTTCTTGAATTTTTTGAAAAAAATAGAAAGATTTTAGATATGTTTTAATATAATCTAATAATTTATATGCATAAGAAAATGGTAAAGATATTAAAACTTCATTTAAAATGTTATTTTTAATATTGCATACAATTTCAATAATAAATTCGAAAGGATCTTTATTTAATAATTCAGGTCTGGAATTAGGTTTAGTGGGTGGTTGAACAAAATCCGGAAGCTCATTTTTTTTCTTTGCTTCTTGGTAGGCTGTTAAATTTTTATAATATACATCTAGCAAAGTTAGTTCTTCTTCTATTATATCGAGATATTCGATTAATTTTTCAGATGACTTAATAGTTTCAATAGTTTTTATAGTAGCTTTATTTAGTAAAACATTTTTTTCAACAGAAGATGGGTACGTTAAGTCATTCCTTACTGCTTCCTTTTCAATTTGCAAATTTAACTCTTTATCCCTTTCCTCTTCTAAAAAAATTAAATCATCTCCTCTTTTCCAATATCTAATACTTTTATGAGTTCCTGATGTTAAGAAAAATTCATCATTAGCATTAATAACTAAAGAAGTAAGAGTACCAAAACTTCCATCAATAGTACAAATACACTCAAATTTTACAGCATCCCACATTTTTATATAGCCATCTCTTGATATACTTATTAAATTATTACTTTCATTAAAAAATTTAATTTTTGTTAATACATCACAATTTATATGTAACCTCTTATTTATGCTACCATATTCTAAATTCCAGATAAATAAGAATTTATCTGATGAACTGGAAGCTAATAATTTGTTATCTTTTGAAATATCAATGCATGTTATTGGTAAACTATGACCATATAAGGTTAAATGTAATTTTAATGTATCACTATACAAAACTTCTATTAAATTATTTAAATAACCAATAGAAATATAATTCTCATTAGGAGAATAAATAGCACAACTTACTTTATCTGTTAAGCTGTAACAATCCATTTCTTTAAATTTTAAATAAAAATTTTCTTTTTGAACAACCACTTCTTCTCCTTCACTCTTTTCATTTTTCTCTTTTCTATCATAATTTCTATAATTTTTTTTATTTATAACATTTTTAGAATTTTTCTTCTCATCATCACTTTCTTCATAATCAATATCCACTTCATTCGTAGTAAATTCAAAAATTTTTAAATAATTTTCTTCTCCTACTGATAAAAATGCATTACTTTTTGGCTTTTTATATAAATTAATAATTTTATTTGCATGAGCTTTATATGTATATTTTAATTCAATATTTTTTAATTCATACAAAAAAATATATCCATATTCATCACCAATTACCAAGAATTCATCATTAAAACAAAAAAATGCACTTGTACATCCTTCTGAATTAATTGTAATTATATTCTGAAAAGTTTTCAAATTCCATATCTTCACATATTTTTTGCATATAGAAACCATTAATTCTCCATTTTCAGATAATTCTAGAAAGTTAACAGATCCATTATGTCCTTTGTTTATTTCAGTTATTTCTTTAAAGCACTTTGAATAATCATATATTTTTTTTTCTATTAGTTTTATATTTTGTTCACTTCCTTCTGTTTCTTTTTTTTCATCTTTATCTTTACTTTTTTCTTCACTTTCATTTACTTTTTCTTCTTCTTCTTCACTCCCTTCTTTATCTTTATCTTCTTCTTCTTCACTCCTTTCTTTATCTCCATCTTCTTCTTCTTCTTCTTCACTCCCTTCTTTATCTTTATCTACTTCCTCTTCACTTTCTTCTTCTCCCTCATTTGGTTCTTCTTTCCTCTTTTTTTTTTCCCCTTCTTGTTTTTCTCTTTCTTCATCCTTGTTTTCATTATTACTATTCTTTGATTTTCCTTCCTTTTTTACAATGAGCATATCTTTGTTATTCAAAATGTCATATAAATTAACTTGAAATACACTTAATCGGTTAGTAACAAAAGATGCTAAAAGATAAACAAAAATGTCTTTTTTTCTTTTTTTATAAACATCTATATTTTGCAATCTAAATTTGCAATTATAATTAAATAAATATTTTATTTCATCATTGACCGTATGAATATCATAACGGTTATAAATAATTATTTCTTGTTCAATTTCTTCTAATTTTTGTGTTAAATTACAGTAGTCAACACTCTTTTTTCCTTTAAATTTTTCTATTCTTTTTTGTTCTCTTATAATAAGTTTTTTTTTTTTTTTTAATTTTTCTATATATCTTTTTTTTTTTGTTTTTTCTGATTTTTTTTGATTCTTTATAGAATTTATCTTATAAAACTCTATTTTTTTTAAGTTAGTGCAGCACATTAAAATTCCATTATTATCTCCTTCTGAACAATAACTTGTTCTTTCACATATTTTTATAGAACTATTTAAAGAGTTATTAATAACATTAATAATATTTTTATCTTCACATGCATCTCCACTATTATTATTTTTATTAGAATTATCTATATTTTCATCTTTTTTTTTTTTGTTATCATTTCCATTTGTGTTAACACTATTAATATTATTATCATTTTCTCTTATAGCAACATCATCTTTTAACATAAAATGCAAATTTTCTTCTTCAAGACCAGTATCATTTTCAATAAAAAAAATCATCTTCATATTTTGAATTCTACAATTATTAGGCCTCTTAATAATTGACAAAAAACTTACATAAATTTTACAATTAGTAAATTTATCTTTGATATTAGAATATAAATCAATTTTATATATTCTTAAAAAGGAGTTACATCCAACAATTAATCTAGTATTGTTCTCATTAATTGATAAACAGCTGATTTCTTCTTCACAATCTACTACCGTTTGCACACATGATTGAATATTTAACTCCCAAACCTTAATTAAACAATCCTTTGATACACTAATTAATAAATTATTACTAATAAAATCATTTAAATAATCACTTTTTATTTTTATAAACTCTATATCTGTAACCACATTGTTGTGACCTTCAAGTTTAAATACTCCTTTATCATTAGTAACATCCCATAATATTATGTTAGTATCTTTACTACATGAACATAAATAGTTACCATTTTTATTAAATTTTAATTTACATATAGAAGAAGTATGACCATGGAAAGTTGACAATATTTTATTTTTTTCTATATCAAATAACCTAATAGAACCATTTATATATCCAACTGCTAAAATATTTCTATTTTTCTCATTTATACAAATATATGTAACATGATAAGTAAAAAAATAATAAGGTGGTGTAAAAGGAACTGTCAGTTTTCTTTTTATTTCTTTTTCATTTACATTCCATATACTCACACATTCATCATGTCCTATATGTTAAGAAAATAAAGAAATAAAATTAAATTATATAAAAATGATATTATAAATAAAATATAGCTATACAAATGTATATACTATCTTTACATAATGTTAACAAAAAAAATTCCGAAAAAAAAAAAAATAAAAATGGTATCTTATAAAACATATATTTTAAATAATATAAATCTTTCTTTTTTTAATCTTTACCTGACAAAATATTGTTGTAATTTAAAAAAACACAATTTGATGTTTTTGAATTAACTATCCCAAAGCAATCTTCAAATTCATATCTATCATATGATTTCACCATTTTATTTAAAAAAAGATAATAAAATAAAAACAAATAAATTATCAAATAATAGAAAATTAATAATATTACAAAACATTAACATTTATGAAAAGGATACATTTTTTCCTAAATATTATTAAATATAGCCATACATATAAACAAAAAATATAATCATGAGAAATTACTTTAAAAATAAAATGAACAAATCATTATCAGAAAAATAACGTTGTATATAAGCTATGATATTATGTTAAATTTTGTAAATTTGTATAATTTAAAATTAGCTTGTTGTAAATTTAAAATATTATAAGAATTTTTTAATTAAAAAATGCCAATTTTTATTTAAAAAATTAACATAAATCATTTTTTTTTTTTTTTTATAAAAATGATTAATTATAAATTAATAATATTATAATAAAATTTTAATTACAAAAATTTTCATTTATTAGTACAAAAATTAATTTTTAATTATAAATTTAATTTTTATTTTTTATTTGATAAATATCATATAAATATATTTACTTTTTTATGTTTCATATTCCAATAATTACTGAAGCGTATTTTTTTTTTTTTTTAAATTTAAAAAAAAAAATATGAGAAACGAACAAATAATTAAAAAAATAAAATAATTCATACATTTATAAATATTTTTTTTTTTTGTAATAAAAGCAAAATGTAATATATACTTATTTCATTATGATATTATGAAAATTTATGGAAATTTTCATACAAATTCAATTTGAAGATTTATAAAAAAAAAATTGAAAAAATAATTCAGAATTTACAATTTTATTTATATTAAAAAAGAAATATAACAAAATAACAAATATGTATTTCTTCAAAATTGCTGAATTTTCATATTTCAACAATATTATAATTTTTTTATAACGAAAAAAAAAAAAAATAAAATAAAATAAAATAAAATAAATAAAAAGTTAACTGATAATAGTGTTACTATTTCTATAAAGTATAAAATGAAAAGTAAAAAAGTAAATAAATTAGGTGGTGAAAATTTTGAAAGAGGTAAAACATGTAGAAAAAATAAAATTTTAGTAAATCCCCATAAAAATAATAGGGAAATAAAAGAAAAAACTGTAAATGAGGAAATTCATCATTTAAGTGATTACTTAAAAGATGAAGCAAATGAAAAATCAAATGAAAATATATATAATGAATTAAATAAAAATATATATGATGAATCAAATGAAAATGTATTTGAAGAATTGAATGATAATTTAAGTAATTTTGTATTTAAAAAGAAGATATATGAAAAGAATATAGCACAAATAGAAAAAAAAATTCAAACAAATAAATTAAACAAACTTATAGAAACTAAAGAAATTATTTTAGACATGCTTACTATAATTAAAAATAGAAAATTAAATTTATCTTAGTATAAAAATGAAAATTAATTTTTTTTTTTTTTTTTTTTTTTTTTGTGTGTTGTTAGAATAGAAGAACTATATTTATCAAAAGAAACTTGAATAATTTATATCTATAAAAAAAAATAAATAAAAATTATTTTTAAAATATATATCCATTAAATTACAATTAATCAATTTAGAAAATAATGCATATACTAAAAATGTACTTTTTTTGAATTTTATTTTTCTTCTTCTTTAATGTAAAAATTTTTTAACAAGCTTATTTTTTTGATTTATCATTTGTTAATATAATGTCTAAAATATTTTCAATATTTTTTATTTGACTCTCTTTCATATAGCTTGTTACGTCATTATTATTTTTAAAATTCTCTAGAAAATTTAGAAATGTATCTTTTTCTTTAATTACCACAAAACATTTTTTGAGTATTTTTTCAATTTGTTTTTTTGGTGTAAATTCATAAGTAAATATAAAAAATGTATTAATTATCATCAACTTAAAATAGGTTTTTTTTTCAAAATAATCAAAATTTAATATAAACATAAGAAATGAACATATTCTATCCCATATTTTGTAATAAATTTTTTTTGTTTCCTTTTCGTTTTCATTTACAATTTCGTAACATTTATAAAATAGAAATAAATTCTTTACGAAATCATTAAAATCTAACTCTTCAAGGGGTAACTTTCTCATGGCAATTATGTATTCAATCATATCAATGTAATAACTAAAAAAATAAAAAAAAAGAACATAAAATGTAGAATATAAAAAATATAATAACATATTAAAATATATAAGACACATATATATTTAACATAAAATGGTTAAATCATAGAAAATAATAAAAAATATAACTCTAAAAAGTTGTATATATAATGCAATTTTAAGAGTCATTAAATAAATAATTTATTAAAATATATAAAATTGTTATATGAAAATATCACAAAGAAAAAAAAAAAAAAAAAAAAAGAAATAATAATTCATTGAAGAGAAGATAATTACGTTATAAAATAAATGATAATATTTATGTAGAATTTCCATATCCTTCTTTCTTCCATTACTTCTTTATCAATATATTCGATTGTTGTTATTTTTCTTGTTATTATTTCAACTTCATTTTTAAATTTTATAGAACTAATTAAATTAATGGACTTTAAAGTATTTTGTATTAATTCATCCCATTCATAAGAAAGTTTATTTTCAAAACAAATAGAATTAAAGAGAAAAAAAAAAGATATATATAATTTCATATATTCTTTTATTTTCTTTTTATCACATATGACAAATTGAGTAATAGTTATATTTTGTTTTTCATTATATGGTGACAGGAAATGAGGAGGCAAAATAAATTCACTCATAGAAATTTTTTCGAATGTGTGTAAGAGAAAAAAATTAAATTTATAAATAAAATTATAAACTATATCAGGGAAATATTTAAATAATATATTATGATATTTTTTATTTTCCACAACTAAAGATAAGAAAAGTAACGCATTAAGTTCTTTTTCATTATTTATATATACATTAAGTTCAGTATCATTTATGTTTTCTCTATTTTTAATATTAACCTTATTAATATCACTTTTTTCAACTTCATCCAATTCATTTTCATTTATTTTATTTTTTAAATTAGCTGTTTCATTATATGCATTTATATCTTTATTATTGTTATTTTCTTTATTCATATTTTCTTTTATATTTTTATGATATAATTCTCCTTTATTGTCAATATTTTCTATGTAAATATTATTTTTTCCAATATCTTTTGATATATGTTTTTCTATATTAGCAGTGCCATTTCGTAACAAAACATCATTTTTGTTATTCGGAAAATTTTCCAATGTATCTTTACCATTTCTCATTTGATAAAAAATTGATTGAATAGATAGATTCAAAAAATTAATATGTTTACATATATATGATTTTAAAAGTCCCCACTTATAAAATAAAGGGATTATACATTTTTTGCATATATTTTTATTTTTAATAGTATGCAAAGAATTTAGTTGATCATGATTATATTTATGAATTATTAAATAATTATCATGATTTAAATTTATATATTTTAAAACTTTAAAATAAAATGGTTGCATCATAGTATTTATGCTATCCAAAAAATATTTTTCTAGAAATTTTTTTTTTAAAAAGTCTTGAATTTCTTCAGAAGAACAGAGCTCCATTTCTTCTTCATTTTTTGCTTTCAATAAATTAGCTATACATATTAAAAGAGATGAATACCTTATATATTTTTTTTTTATATTTTCATCATTTAAAATATTCTTATCATTTTCACTTAATAAGATGCAACTATCTTCTTCTTTTAATTTTACATTTGTTATTTCAAATAGAACAGAGGATAACTTATATCTATTAATTAATTTTAAATTTGTGGAAAATTTACTTATGCATATCATTAAAACAGGATATTCATTTAAGAAATTAATACATTTTTTTGCTTGTTCTTTAATATCACATTCCCACATGTTATATGTTATTAAATTGGTTGATAGTTTTAAAAATTCACGTATTTCCTTATTTTTTGTCTTTTCATTATTTCCATGTTTCATATAGGACAATTTTTTTATACATGATTGAACATTATATGTAATATAATCTTTTGTTATCCTTTTTATTAATTCATTAAAATCAATTTGATTAGAAAAATTATTATTTAAATTTTTATTGAGTTCTAAGACGAGATTAACAAAATTTTTTCTTACACTTATAGATTTATCATTTATAAGATTTTTAATTTTATCAAATATTTTTATAAATATTTTATTAATCATTTTATTTTTAGCAATTTCATAAAGACCTAGCACTGCTTCCGTTCTTACATTTTCATTATATTTATCTTTTAATGATTTGTTTATCAATATATCAAGTAATATTATTCTCTTGTCATCATGTATTATTTCCCATAATTCATTTAATATCTTAAAGGAATAATTAACAATATAAATATTATATATATAATTATTTTATTTTTTTATTATATTCTATTTAATATTTTTTTAAACTAACATTTTAAAAACTATAGATCTATTGTTTTTTTTTTTTTTTTTTAATATTATTAATGTTATATATATTTTTTATTTTTATTTATTTTATTTTTTTTTTTACGTAACAAATGCATTTAGCTGTAGCTTGTCGAACACATGTATTCTTATCTTCAGATAATTCAATAAGTGCATTATAAGCTCTTAAAAAAGTATATATTTATATATATATATATATATGTAAATGATAATTTGTTATTTTATTATTTTTTTTTCTTAAGTAACTTGTCCATTTCTTCTAGGTAATTTATGTCTTTTATGCAGGGATCCTATATGTTATTTAAAAAATATATAAAAAAAAAAAAAAAAAAAATTATATTAATTTATATACTAAAAAAACATTATAGATAAAATTAATAATTTTTATGCAAAAAAAAAGAAAATTTTACCACAACAGGAAATATTAATTGAAAAATACATGTTGCATTAAATCTAATTTTCCAGTTTGGTGACTGAATAATTTACAATTAATATGCATAAATTATATCATAATATTGTAATTACAAACTTTTTTTTTTTATACTCATATACCATTAAATTTCTCCATATAACAGGATCATAAATTTTGAATATTAATTGATTGATACTTTTATCACTTAAAAAAACATACACGTTTTAATAATATTATTATAATAGAAATAAAAAATTAAATTCAAAAAAATTTAAAAAGATTTACCCTTTGTTTGTATTAAATATATCAAGCACACATCTAAAACGTGCTGCAATTTTGATTGGGCATTTTAAGGAAAAATGAACGAGGTATTCTAATTGTGTTTCAAGGACACTTCTCATGTCATCAGAACAGTTCTAAAAAAAATATTAAAATATAATTGTAATATAAAAAAAAAAAAAAATAAAATAATTTAAAAAAACATTAAAATATAATTGTAATATAAAAAAAAAAAAAAATTATTTAAAATAAAATTATAAAATATAATTGTAATATAATAAAAAAAAAAAAATATTTATATTTTTTATATTATATACCTTCCAAGTTGAATAAATAATTTTCGAATAATGGTTTATGTTGTCATAAGGTAAAACCACTGTACTGTTAACAAATTTCTATTAAAAATAAAGAAAAAAAAAACTTAATAAAAAAATTTTATTTATATAACAAAATATATTTTATTTTTTAATTACATTAAAAAGATGGTATGCTATATTTTCATTGAGAGACCAAACATAAGATAAAAATATTTTACCATCACAACTAAAAAATAAAATTTTTTTTTTTTTTTCTTATATTTAAATACTTTATATAGTATGTTATTTATTTTTACTTTTCATAAAATTTAGGGAGACTTAAAGAATAGGAACAAAGAATGTAAAAAGAATTAGTTGTTTTGTCTGATATCCCCCATTTTATAATTTTACAAAAATCTTTATATTTTTTTAATTTATTAATGTCAGAAATTTTACCCTTTATTAAAAATTATTTTGTAAATATATTTTTTTCTTAAATTAATATAAATTAAATTTATAATTCTGCCTATCTATTTATTTATATATGTGCTCAAATTCACATTAATTCATTATTTTTAGAATTTTTATTTTACGTCTGTAGAACAAGACTTCCATAGTAAAAATAGTAAAACATTAACTTTTATGTAGTCAGAAAACTCATTTTCTATCAGTTTTAATTCACAAATATTCAACAAACATTTTCCAAAAGATATCCTTACTTCTTTATCACTTAACATAAATTGAATTTCTTTTTTTTTTAAAAAAAAATATACCAATATATATATATATATCTAAATTAATATTTAGTTTTTTTTTTTTTTTTTTCATTTTTAACCAATCAATTTATAAAATAATTTTCTAAAATTTTCATCTAAATTTATAGATTTTTTCCCTTCATTATTACTTAAATATTGTAAATATATAGAAATAAAATTTATACAAGTAAGCAAAAATTGTCTATTATTTTCTTCCTTAAAAATGTAAAATAAAAATAGATAAAATATTTTTTATTTTATTTTTTTTTAATGAAAAAATAATTAAAAAAAATACATTTATTTTTATAAATTTTATGTTACTCTAAATAATAACGTTGAATTTTCTTCACTATAAATTAGTTTATCTGGGGATATATTTTCTACTAATAAATTTAGAAGGCATAACCAGATTTCTTCAATTTCTTTACTTTTACAAGATTTCCATATATTTAATAATTCCGACTTAAAAAAAAGTAAAAATAAAAAAAAAAAAAATTGACAGAAATTCTTTTTATTTTGCAATTAGTTATTTTTCTAATTATAATTATCAAACATAACTATGTTAGCAATAATTAAAGCATCAATTTAAACAAAAATTATTCATTTTTAAGAAAAAAAAAATTAAAAATATGTAAATATTCTTACTTTTTTTCTGCATATTAACTTAAATTGAGACAATTCATTAATATTACTTATAATCTTTTGATACATTTTTTCTTTTACTAATAGATAATACATAGAAAAAAAAAAAAAAAAAAAAAAAAATATTTTACTATACTCAAATGATTTTTATTTTTTTTTAGACATACTGTTATATCAATTTTCAAGTTTTATATTATTAGGAAAATATAGAAAATAAAAAAATTTTAATTAATATCTTTTTTTTTAGAATAAATTTTTAAATATTCTTTTTAAAAAATCATAATAATTATTTTAAATAGTGCATTATAGAATTTTTTTTTTCTTTGTTTTTCGTTCATTTATATATTATAATAATGAACGTATTTTTATTAAATGTTATTTTTTATTATAAAGGAGAAAAAAAAAAAAAAAAAATAGAAAAGATTATTTAAATATGAAATATGCACAAACAAAATCATTATTTAATCAAAAGTTAAACTAATAAAAAAAAAAAAAAAAGCAAATATTAATATTTTTAAAATATATTTTGCATATAATAAAATATCATATATATATATAAATATATATATATATATATATAATATTGAGACATACAAACAAAAAAAAAAAAAAAAAAAAAAAAAAAAAAAAAAAAANNNNAAAAAAAAAAAAAAAAGCAAATATTAATATTTTTAAAATATATTTTGCATATAATAAAATATCATATATATATATAAATATATATATATATATATATAATATTGAGACATACAAACAAAAAAAAAAAAAAAAAAAAAAAAAAAAAGAAATAAAAAAAAAAATAACATACTTACAAAAATAAAAATATATATAGTAATGCATGAAATTCAAAGAATATATATTCCTTTAAAAAAAAAAAAATTATGAAAGTTTTTTATTTACTTTTTCATTTTTTCTTTTTTTTTTATAAAAGTTCATTTTTATCTTATATGCTTTTAAAGATAAATATAACTATTTATTTTGCATATTATATCTTTTTTTCACTAAAATTTTAATAATTGTCATCAGATGTTTCTATACTTATATAATTATTTATACCCTGTTTTTCATTTGTAACAGTTGTTTTCCCTTTTATTTTTTCATTAAGTTTATTATTTTTTAATACGGTTGTGTTTGTGTTTTTCTTACTCATTTGAAAATCATTTTTGAGCTTCCTTTTTTTATATATCTTCATTTTTTGATTTAAAATATGATTAGATTTTAAATTGTTATGTTCATCTGTTATAATTAAAATATTATTTTCATTTTTTTTATTCTTCTGATTGTTACTACTATTATTAATACTATTATTAATACTATTATTAATACTATTATTATTATTATTATAATTGTTGTTAATATTATTCTTATTATTACTATTCATATTATTATTATTGTTACTAACATTATTACTAGTATTATTTTTATTTTTTTTTATATTTTCTATATCCTTTTTAACATTAATATTCTCAATTTTATTTTTCTTATTTTTATTTTGTTTTATTTTGTCTGATGAATTTATCTTCTCGTTTTCTAAGCAAATAACTATATGATCTGATAATTTCTTCTCTGTTTTATTATTTTTTTTTTTATCAGAATTTTTTTTCGTTATTTCGTTGATTAAAATTTTATTACTTTTCTTTTTTATTAAAGAATTAATCTCTTTAGTATTTCCATTTTTAATAGGTTCAATCAATTTCTTTTTGTTTAATGATTTACTTTCGTTTTTAATTAATGCGTGTTTCTTATTAGTTTTACTATTATCCTTTTTAACTTGCACATCAATATTATTACTAATACTGTTAACGTTTTTTTTTTTAATAGAACTTTTTTCTTCTTCATTTTTATTATTACTCTTTGTTTTATTTTCTTCTTTACTATTATTATCATTAGATAATGATTTTTCTTTGAATAACATTTTATTTATATTTTTATAATAAATGTTGTTCATTTTATTCATTTCATTTGTATCAAACAAAAATACTTTTTTATTTTTTCCCTTTTCATAAGATACATCTATTTTGTATTTTTCTTGGTAAAAGTTTATTAATCCTTCAATGTAATCTGAATTAATTATTATATTTGTTTTATATCTAAAATTAAATAAATTAGTTAATATTTCTGATAATGTCATATATGGCATTTTAATAAAATGTTTATTTTGCCTATCTACAAGGGCCTCGAAACCTGCTGAAATCATATCCTTTAATAAACATTTTTGTTTAATAAATATTTTTACATAATTTAACATATCATATGAAATATCTGAAAAACTTTTAAAATACTTTTCTAACGATTTATTATCTTCTATTTCATGATTATCCATGGTTATTTTATATATTATATTTGATTCATTATATTCTGCATTTTCATTGTTCTTATATGGGTACTTATTTTTACTTGCATTATTTTCTTCATTTTCCTTAATATATTTATCTATACTTCTTAATTTTTCCTCATTTAAACCATGATCCATCATTTCTTCATTTTTCTTATTATTAAAATCAAAATATAAATCATCTCCTATATTTTTTTTATTATATTCATTTTTTAAAAAATCTTTATTTAAAAATGTATAATTATCAGAAGTCATTTTATCTTCATCTATTTGTAGAATTGTATTATGATTTGAAATGTGTGATGAAGATTTATTTTTATTATTTGACTCATTTTTTACATTTAAAAATTTGCTTTTTTCATTTTCATCTATGCTTTCTTTTTTTGAATTATTAGAAATAAAATTATTATTATTATTATTAATATTTTTTAGATTTATCTCATTAAAATTATTCTTTAACTGGTTATCCTTGTTAATATCAATTTCTTCGTTATCATTATTACATTTAATTATTTTGTGAATTTTAAAATAATTATCATTTTCCTTATGTTTTTCATTTAATTCATTATTACTATTATCATTACTTTTTATCAAAAGATTAAAATTATTTTGGATATTCGATTTGTTAATGTTAGGATTATCATTATTATATTTGTTATAATTTTCAATAATTAAAGTACTCTTATTTATATTATTATCTTCAATAATATTATTATTTTGTTCTAAACTGCTATTTTCCGAATTGTTATTACATTCATTGTTAATATTATTATGGTTATTGTTATTGTTATCATTTTTATTATCATTATTATTATTGATATTATTATTGTTATTATTTTCATGATAATTACCATCTTTATTTTCTTTACTTAGTTTTTCTTTATTTTCTTGATATAATTTCCATTGAGTAATATCTTTTAATATATTGTTTAAATGTGTTACATTATTTTTTTCGAAAATTTGCGAATTTTTTAATTTTTTAATAAACTCTTTTTCATAATTTATAAATACTTTAGTATTATAAAAAAAAACATTTTCAAACCATATTCTGTATATATCTGTATCATTGAGAGAGTTAGACATTTTAGTCATAATAGTAGTAAGCCATCTTAGAAGCTTTACGTCTATTTCAATTAAGTCATTTAATTCTTTATCAAAATGGTTTAATGTGTTTGCATATTTTTCTATAACTTGAGAAAATATATTACAAACACTTTTTTTTATTATGTTTTGTATATCTGAAGTATTTACCTCAAGAGGTAATGCATCTAATTCTTTTTCTAGTTTTTCAAAAGAATCAACGAATTCTGGGGGGATATGCTTTTGAAATTTCTTCCAAGCAAAGGGGTTAAATGTAATATCTTCTTCTGATGATTCCGATTCCTCTGTTTTACTTTCATATTCATTATCATCAGAAGAGGGATCTATGTCCCCATCACTTGAATAAATAATGATGTTATTTGAACTTTTTTCAAAATTAATACCAGCATTCAGTTCATTTAATTCAATTACGCTTTCACTAGAAGAGTTAGATGAAGAAAATACAGAAGAATCTGAATTTTTGTCATTACTGTATATATTTTTAATATTTATTATGTTCCCATTTTCATTTTTTTTCTCTTTGTTTTTTAAATTCTTTTTGTATTTATCTTTTTCATATTCTTCTACATTTTTATTGTTTTTTTTTAAATTTTTTTTTTTATCGCTCTCTTCATCACTTGAAAAATTATATTTACACCTTGAGTTATAAAAAGAGAAAAAATAGTCTGGATTTATTTCAATATAATCATCCGATATATCTGCACTCCATATACTATATTCATCTTCTATTTGTCTTGTTAAAATAATTTCATTTTTAGTTTTGTTTAATTCTTTATACATTTCTTCATCATCTAAAAATGGATCATTTATATCATAAAACATATCACCTCCTCCAATTTTAAAATAGGTTGTTGGATCACCAACTAAATGTTGTAAATTAATTCTATCAGATAAAGAATTTATGCATTTTAATAATGGATCCAATGACTCTTGTTTTTTTTTTTGAAGATTAAAATTTTTAAATTCTTCATTAATAGTAGTGGTATTTGTATTTTTAAGAACATTTTTATTTTTCATAAGTAAACATTTGTCATTTGAATTAGATAGATTATTACTGTTATCTATATTTTCATTTATTAAGTTTAAATTATTAATTGAATATAAATCCACATTTTCTTCAACTTTTACTTTATTATTGCTATTATAATTCTGATGATATATAAAATTATTTTCGTTTTTATATTTATTTAAACATTCAGAATAAAAATCAATAACTTTACTTTTTTTTATATCATCAAAATTTATATATATATTAATCCCATGCTTATATCTTTGGAGAATTAAGTCTTTTTCAACGATATTTTCTTCTTCTACTTCTTCTCCTTCATCAGTTATATTTGCATCATCATTTAAATTTTCTTCTTCTGTTTCATAATTACTTTTATTTTCATTCAAAAAATTTTTTTTTTCATCTTTTTCGACTTCAAGATGTGTTTTTATTTCATTACTATGAAAATTATTTATATCCATTTCATTTTTGTTTATACTCATATCAGAATTATTTATTTCATTTTCATTTCTCATTTCTTCATTTTGAAAATTAATTAATTCTACCTCTTTTTTTTCTCCATTAATTTCATAAAGTTTTACTTCATCATTATTTCTGTCAACGATTTTATAAAAATTTTCTGTTTCATATTCTAAGTTTTTATTTTTTTCAGTAGTATCCATTGAGTTTCATTATAAATATGTGAAGAAAAAAAAAAAAATTATTTTTTAATTTATAGATAATAAGACCTAATTTCTTTTTGCAACAAATAATTAAAAAATTCAGAAAGATAATTATTTAATAAAATGCATTATTGCTCTTAATGGGTCTTCATTTCTTTATAAATGAATCTGGATTTCTTTTTTTTTTTTTTCTTTTTATTTATTTATTTATTTTTTTGTTTTATTTTGCTTTTTATTTTATTCCTTTTTTTTTTTTTTTTTTTTTTTTTTTTTTTTTTTATTTTATTTTATTTGGTGAATGTCTTTATTATTATATTTTATCTAAGTATGTTTTTTTTTTTATGTATTACATTCTTTACAATTAATAAAAAAGAAAATTTTTTATATATGCCAGAGATACTATACACATATAAATATAAGAGTGTTTTATCATATGAATATATATAATACTGTGTGCATATAATAAAAAAAAAAAAAAAAAAAAAAAAA